TATTCCCTCCCCTTTCCGTTCGCTCTTACTCCCGCTTGCTTGCTCGGTAACTTGTCGACCGCCTCTTTATTTTCTGTCGCTGGTACAGCCGTTTCACAGGAGAATACACTACGATTAAAGTATATCACAGATGTTAACGAGAAGAACGTTCTAGAAACGCGCCAGAAAAAGGAAAAAGAGGAAGAGGAAATCGGGGGGAGGCTCTCTCTCTCTCCGGGTGATTTGGTTTCCTTGGACTCGGGAGAGGTGGGGGTGGGTTCTATATGCTGGACGCTGTTCTTTGGACGTACACTGCGCTGGAATCGAGAACTTTCTTTCGTTTTCTTGCTTTCAAAGTGCTCTCGGAATTTTTGGTCGCATTGGTACCAGTTAATCGTTAGTGAAAATCTCTCTGGTTCCGTTTTTGATCATTCTTGAGACGGTACCGTTGCATTTTTCGATTCTCCGATGGATATCCGTACGGTAACAGGCAAAGTAAAATATAATTGGAGTCCTAGAATACTTGGAACTTTTTCAATTTCCTGCCTCGAACACGGCACTTCCGGCAAGACGAACCGGCCGCGCAGTGTGTCCAACGAACAGCGTTCGATTATTATACTCGTCCGCGATCGTTGGTCGCCGTGGTATCATCCGGAAGAGTAACACGGCAGCTGTCCCGGTAAATAGCTGTCCACGCGAGTTCGTCGAGTGCACCAATTGACATGGAGGATAAAGATTGTACGAGTTTCAATTTGTATTCAAGATTATCACAACGTCGGATGCGTTCTTTTCCGTTTTCTTTCTTTCTTTCTCTTTTTTTTTTGGTTTTTGGTTCTTTTTTGGTTTTCTCTTCTCTCTTAGTCTTAAGGTTCTAGTCACATTTACAATTACACACCTCGAGGCTCGATTAGATTACATGTCGGTAGCGAAAGAGACAAAAATACCGTTATTCATCGACTAGAGCTATGAACTGGCCGCGGTCGTTCCTCCTTCTCCTATCAGCCGACAGTAACGATACACCTGGGCGACGAACAGAAGCGTCGGTGGACCGGATTTTCTCGTGAGAACCATTCCCAACACGTTCGTACGATTCATAGATACGTTTCGATGACTGATCAATGTTACAGTTACAACAGAATCTTCCTATAACGTCTGAAAACAAGTGACAAATCGATTCCAACGGAACGTCAGACCGACAAACTCGATCTCACGAGAGTCTTAGAAGAAGAATCGTGTTCCGGGATCTCGCAAGATCCAACGACACTTCCGTCGGTCGCTGGACTGCGAATTTCCATGGGAATACAAACGATTAATGTATAGAAATCCGTTGACCCTGTTCCACGACGGAAACCGAACCGCGAAACTTCAACGTTAAAGCTACCAACGAAAGACAATGCACCATCGACTAGACCCGTTTCAGAATGTTCAGCGAGTAGTTGAAATTATAAAGAGAAAATAGAGTGAACAGACTCCGAGTTTGAATAAACAGATTGCTCCGATTCGTACGGGAAATTAGAAGCAAGTCTCCGATTAGGTAGTTCCAAGTGTTCAAAGTTTCCGCGGACGCATGGAAACCGCAGTCGCTGGCTGCCCGTGAACGGTACACTTTGTTTCTGAAAATATCGCGTTACGAAG